TAAGTGCTTGGTACATTATCAGCGCAGCGGGAGACGTTCAAACTAATATCACGTAATTTACGTCTCTTTGATGATTGGTTGATATCAGAAGGGAGGCTAGCCTCCTCTACGAGGTTTCTTTTCTCAACACTCCTCAGTGCTGAAAGTGAACACTCGATGGTGATTGGCTAATTTTTTTTACCAACGGAGGCACGAGAGCTCAGCTCTCCCCCGGCCTCCCCCTACCCTTCTATATCACCTAGCGGTTGTAATTACATCAGCAGATTCGGCACATTCGCGATAGAAAAGCGGCGCTTTCACGTTATGGTATTACAACTGTGAAATTACAAACAAAAAATACACATTCTGAGACATGAACTGAAATGAATTGTGAATTTTATTAACATTAAAACGTCCTCCTCCCATTTTCACCTCAAAATTATGGGGAAGCTGTGCCTCCCCTGACGAGCCGCCACTGATTGTCACCCCCCTTTTTGTGAACTGAACTCATATGTGGCTAAGTATATGGTTTTTGAATTTGAGTAAGATTTTGTTGTTTTACAAATGCAGGTATTCCAGAGGAGAATGGATGGATCTACTGATTTCTTCAGGAGCTGGAGAGACTACAGTAAAGGCTTTGGTTCCCTGAGTGGGGAATTCTGGCTGGGTGAGATTTTCCACAGTCATTGTATTTTTTTTTTTTTTAGAAACCCCAAAATATATATACATTGAATATATTTTCAATTTCCCAGGTTCCCACCTAAAGAATAGCAGTTTAACAGTTGCGGGGACTTTGAATTACATTTTTGCACCCTCTCTCAACAGGAAATGACATCCTTCACACTCTCTCCAGTCGTACACCAATGAGCCTGCGGATTGACCTGCGTTCAGCAAATGACACAGCCTTTGCTCATTATGCCAACTTCAACGTTAGCTCAGAGGCTAACCACTATGAAATCGAGCTGTCTGGATACTTTGGCACTGCTGGTAAGAGAAAATAAAATACTTTGTATGAAAAAAAAGCTGGTTTTGTATTAAGAAAGACAATCTGACGCTCTAGCTATATTTTGTCTTTTTGCAGGTGATTCCATGAAATATCACAACCGCCGTCCATTCTCCACAAAAGACAAAGATCCAAACACTCTTAGCATCCACTGTGCTAAGGCCTACTTGGGAGGCTGGTGGTATAAAAATTGCTACAAGGCAAACCTCAATGGCCTCTATGCCTCCTACTCAGACAACAAGGTACTGCATCAGCAAACAGCAGCGTTTCTGTAGCTCAAACAAAAGCAGGCCCGGATTGGCTAATCGGGAGCCCCGGGAGGATTCCCGGTTGGCCGGTCTGTTTTTTTGGCAGCGAGGGCCGCGGTGTTGTCATGCCACTAGGGTTGAAATATGGATGCTGTCCACTGATCTATAATAGATATTATATATAGATCAGTGATGCTCTTTTTATTTATAATTTTCTCGCAGCCCATATTATTATTTTCACCAGACCATATCAATAACAAATTCTCAATTGATAATTAATCATTCTTTTTGCGCAAATCATTGTTTTATTTGTGAAGTAGCCATTTGAGGAAGGCTTTAAGACCAAACGGAATCCTCTGCCGGCTCTCGCGCTGACGGCAGTTCCCTTCACCGTCCGCGTTTTGATTCAGTTTGGGCGAATGCAAACAACTTATTGATCATGAGCCCAACATTCAATCTACCTGAGGGAAGACGTCTTTCATTGTAATGCCGTTAAATAGAGAGAGAGAAAAAAATACATTAAAAAAATTTTTTACTTCTAGCGTATTCTTGGACCTCATTATTGAAGTACAAATAAATGCCATTGTTTAAAATGTTTTATTGACTGACGTTTCATAGACCTTCAGTTGTTGCGCTTTCAAATTTCATGCAATTTGTAATTTCACAGTATTTTCACCTGCTAACTTACTACACTTGTGAAGTCACAATTCTATAATGGTACAATTTACTCGGGCCGATGACATTTTTTGAATGACATTAAAATTATTTTTAGAATAATTGTACATAAATAGGTTAAGCAAAACAATTGTGATTATTTCTGATGAAAAATGGATAATAGAAAGAGCGAAGGCGGCACTGAAAAGGCCAGTAAAAATAAAAACTCCAGGGCTGAAAATGAGTCCCACTCCGGCCCTGAACAAAAGTACAATGTTAAGAGCATTAAACTATAGCCATTATAGAAACACCAATAGGGCTTACGTCACAAACCATCCACCGATTTCTGAGTCTTTTTTTTCTTGTCTCTTAGGGTGTGGTGTGGATAGACTGGAAGGGCAAAGACGCATCCCTCCCATTTACTGAGATGAAGCTTCGACCCTCCTATATCAGTCAAACGATCCCGACAACCCCAACAACCCAAGGTTAAATCTACAGAGTGAATAGTGCACATAGTGCAAATACACTGTACAAACTTCTACACACTGCTACTTCAATATTGTATATAGGTTAACAACATAAAATACAAAACAAGCTTTGCAAAGTAAATATGCAAACAACCTCCAACCAATCACAACAACTTTTGTACGTTTTTTTTTTTTTTAATGTTATGTAGACTTTATGCATGTGTCGATGTACTTGTGTTAATGGAGGTCCATCATTGATATTAACATTTCCGCTACTGGAATAACTGCACTGTCTTGATCTATTGGTACGATTTTTTTAATCTTTTCATATGACTGGTTTCCTCTCTATGAAATTGTTTTATTTTGATGTTGTAGACATGTAGACAAAACCAATAAAACAAAGTACTAACCGGATTCAGAAGTGAGATTTTGTGTATTATTTTTTATATTTCTTTACATATTTATCATTTCATTATATTTACTAAATGCGTTTGCTGTTATATTTCAATAGGCTACATGTATATAATATAATATTATTTCTAATTCTTTAAATGCAGAATTAAAGCCAAATAACTTTAAGAAAGTATTTGCACGTGACGGTAGATGGATTTATGTTAATATAATGAATCTAATGATTCTATCAGTGAATTATTACAGCATGACTTTGCTTTACAGGCAAATCCTTTTACAAATATCTAAGTTCGGCTAAAATGGCAGTTGAAGCAGACTGGTTTAACAGTAGCTCCATTCCTGTGCAGAGCTGAAGGCTTAGATTGTGGTTTGGCTATAGACAAGATTCCGCCATACCTGACACTATACTTCTTTGATTGGTTTTTCAGGGTGGCAACTGTATTTCACTATATTCCTGAGCTTATGCTGAATCACTGCTTTATTTGCAATGAATGGGGCCTTTCCATCCAATGCCTTGCGGCAATATATCAGCATGGAGCTCGGCAGTAAAGGTTGTACAATAGCATGCACAGTAACTTAGTGTCAGAGTCCACTTCCTTTTTTCGACTAAATACAAACTTTGTTGGTTATAAAGCCAATGGGGATTTGGTATCCTGTAATATAATTTATCAAATCGTGATGTTAGTGGTTCATTCTTCTTGCTTTGAGAGTAACATTGAGATAAAGGTCAGGATAATATTTACCTATCCTTGATGAGAGGATAAAATTGAGAAACAGCACTCAATTGTGTTGATTGGAGTAGGGTTGGAGAAGGAAGATAATAAAAGGGGGAAAAGTGTAAAAGAAAAGCATTCAGAAAGTTTTCAGTAAAGAATCAACAGCATGTGTATCGCAGCGGTGAGTGTGGTGCTGTTTCTCTTCATTTTGTGGATGCTTGTGGTCCAGCTCTGTAGACAGACTGACAGGCAAAGTGATGGAGATGCCAAAGCAAGCAAGCAACCAGAAGGTAGGAGGTTTGAGTAATTTAAATATATGTCCATTGATAACCTGAATACCAGAAAAGTGAAGAAAGTGATTGTGATCTTCGACAGCTCTGCTCCGGTTTAATATGTATGTTTCTTTCCACTGACCTAGCGGCTGTACCCAAACTCCTGCATTCCCTCTCTAAGCGCTTCAGTAGAACTCTTTCTCCCTCTCTTTCTGGTCCTCCCTCTCTCCCTTTGCTGGGCAACATGCTGGATCTTGCCCAAGAACATCTACCCATCCACCTGACCTCACTGGCACGTCGCTATGGAAATATCTATCGGCTCAACTGTGGCAACACAAGTAATTATTATTTTTATTCCATTTCCATGATAGCAAAACTCATTGCAACTGGTGATATGAAGTCATATTATGTAAATGTAGAATTACATAAACTTCACTAAATAGAGGAGAGCAGGACAAGCTGTCACAAGGCTTACATGTTAATAACTATATGGTTTTGAATCAATATTTGTTCTATATCTGCTGGGTAATAAAAATGAACACAATAAAACCACACATACATTCAAACAACAGTCAATTATAATGAAGCTATAATTGGAATTGAAACATTAAACTGTGGTGTCAGGACAAGAATATTTGCTTGTCATTTTTGCTTTTCCAGGAACAATTTTGTGGTTCATAATTTTCTTGCTCTTTAAATTCACCTAAAAGCCTATATTAGGCCGTTTAAAGACAGGTTCTATAGTAACAATGCATAAAGCAGCGAACATGTATCATTTTTTAGATGATACAAATAAAACAGTTTTACTTTTTATTTTTTTCTGATTAATATAAAACCAACCCTGAGAAATATTCAATGGACTAGAATGTGTGACAGATATTGTAGTGTCAGTCTCCATTACATCATTAAAATCTGTTCATATCTTTTATTGTTTTTTGCAGCCATGGTGATTTTAAATAATAGTGAGATCATCCGCGAGGCTCTGATCAAAAAATGGTCTGACTTTGCTGGGAGGCCTCATTCATATACCGGTAATTTAGTTCTATCAACTAGCCCAGCATGTTTATCTTTTCAAACAGACGGTCTGTATATCATATCTTATATGTTTCTTCTTGTACCTCAATCTTAGGTGATATAGTATCAAGCGGCGGGCGAACCATTTCTCTGGGTGATTTCAGTGAGGAATGGAAGGCTCACAGGCGTGTGGCCCATAGTGCTCTGCACCGCTGCACAAGAGATTCCCTGCACTCTGTCATAGAAAAGCAAGCACACCATCTCTGCCAGGTATAGGACAGACACATACACTGGCTAATAATAATAATAATAACCAAATAATCCGTTTGTAATCGGATTGACGGCTCAATCGGACTGAACAGCCTTCATGTAAACACCTTAATCGATCCGATTGAGCTCGATCGGAATGAAATTTCGATCGGAATGAAGGGGGTGGTTTATTCCTTTTCTAATACGATTGCGAGTGCATGTAAACACTTGATTGGATTGAACCCCGAAACTGAAAGGACTGCGCATGTGCAATGAGCAGAAATAGCGTAATGACGTATGACGCACAGAAAGCGGTTCTTCCTTTTGAATAAATTGTTGTATAAATGCGTGTCCTGTCATTATAAAACCCTCCTTTCACTCGGCAACTGTGAAGTGGAGCAGGACAACCTCCCACCAGTCCTTGTTTTGGATTCTCATTCACAGGCAACCCGTTTTGGGCACGGGGAGGGACATTTTTACTGCGTGATAAATATGAGCAGCAATGGATAAATATGAATTCTGCTGTTAAAAAACAAATAAAGAACATCCTTTATCATGATGGACACTAATTGGTCTCCAGGTCACAAGCTCAAGGTCAGAGGAGCGAGAAAATGTGAATGCACAGTTTAGGAAATGACAAGCACCCTCTGACACACACACACACACACACACACACACACACATTTACTTAGCTCAGGGGTTTTCAACCTTTTAGGACATGAGCCCCCCCCAAGTTTGTCTAATTTCACTCCCGATTCAAGTTTTCATTTCTCTTTGGAGTGTTACAAGCTCTTGGTGCATAAAGAAGATCTGTAAAGTTGCAAAGACTAAAGTCTCAAATCCAAAGAGATATTCTTTATAAAAGTTAAGAGTCAGCCACGCCTACCTAAAACGTCTCGTTCTAACACGCCCCCACATAT